TGTTTGATGCAAAATAATATGTCTGTAATGATTGGAATTGATTCAGTGTGGCATTTTATTCAACTTTATAATCGGACATTGTGGGTTTGACGACTTTTTGCCCCACCAACTTCCCTGGAAAAGCTCCACCCATGGACAGTTCTCGTCCGTTTCTCGTCCGTTGGTCCAATCCGGTGAAGTGTGACCGAGGCTTTAAATTTTATGCAATAATCGTGAAAGACGTCTGCCTCTGTCAATGACAGATAGCGGCTTCCAGGCGATCGAGGTCTGCGAGTGAGTTCTTGCAAGCTTTCCGCTCGATCGAGTGGTTGCAGTCACATAAGCATCTGCCGCAGACCAGTCGGTTACAAGAAAAACTACGAATAAAGAACAGACCAGTTCAGACGGTCGGGGATAAGCCTGCGTGCGATCTCAGACGGCTCGCCGATAGACACGATATAAGCCAGAGTCAAACTAAAGGTAGTGTCGGTGACTTCCAGCCGATTGAAGTCTGCAAGCGATATTTAAACCGTTCACAGTCAGCGTTCCAAAAATTTCTCATTTGGGCTGAAGATGACACTCAAGAATAAGAATGGATAATTTTCCACTCTCAAAATTTTGGGTGGCTAGAATTTTCCACACAGACACCCAAGAGAAATCTGAAGTTTGGGACACTGTTCACCACAAGTGTACATAACTTTTTTTAAAGAAAATATTAGGGTTGCGGCGGTTGCGCACTGCGCAGTGCGCTAGGGCTTTGGAGTGAATTATTTTCCATGCGACACGCAATAGGCTTAATGATCATTTTCAGAGATGTTGGGGTTGCTGCTACAACCCCCTTTTGGGGTTCCTGCTACAACCCACTTTATATATAAAGTTGCACTCGTGCTGTTCATAATTCCTCCCGATCCACCCGACAACGCCCGGTCCCGTCCGACCGCTTCCGAATCTCCGACTAGTCGGCGAGCGATCCACTCAGGGCTCGCTGATTTTTAACATCCGACCGGCCGTAAGTTATCGTCCAAAGTTAAATAATATGCGTCAATATTTTGTGCATACTTATGCGATTTTATGTGCATCGCCGGAGTATCACCACTTAGAGGGTTGTGGGTCACTGCTCTCCATAGACCCGAACAGGACAGGGGGGGGCAGCGGGGGCGCTTGCCCCCCCAACTTGGGAGCCGAGGGGGCGGCGCCCCCTCAACATTGAGGCAGCGAGAAAAGATCTTTCTTCCCTTTTCCGGACTTCTTTCCTTCTTGTTTCCTTTATACATCTACACATCAACATGCGGCATTTCCTTGCCATCCGAATGGTTTCTGCTGATACAGTATCGATTTGACAACATCTGCTATTGTCATCCCGCTTTGATTTGGGCCTGACCTTGGGCGTAAGTTTGGCAGGCCAGATTTTATACTGCACCAGCTTGAGTCAACTTTGAGAAATACATAACGTATGTACAACGGTGGTAAAATCGTTGCTATAGGTATAACACAGTTTACCCGCTCCGGGTGTGATGGAGGGGTGTGGGGCAGCCAATGAGTGCACTGACGTGGCGCCCTCGGAAGGCCGATATGGGATTAAAGCTCAGCGACACTAAGGGCTTGTGTGGTGCCTTCGGTTATCGGGTGCACCCTCAGAATCACCGGCGTAGGGCCCTCAGAGCCGCCGGTAAGGGGCCTTTAGAGGCACCGGTGTGGGACCGCCATGCAGGTGCCGGTGTGGCGCTCAGAGATGCTAGTGTGATTCTCTCAGAGGCGCCGATGAGGGTCCTTACAGGCGTTGCTGTGGGCCCTCATAGACGCTGATGTGGAGCCGTTACAGACGGGTGTGGGGCCTTTAGAGCTGCTGATGCGAACTCTCTACAAGCCGGCAGGGGGTCTCAGTGACTGGCAAGGGGTCCTTAACCCGGCAGTTGCTGGGGTATTTCGCCACCCACCGTTTGCTGGGGGGGGGGGCGTTAAACGCCCCCAGCCGATAACTCGAGAACCAATAGGCGCAGCGAAACGCACGAGGCGGCAAACGAAAGAGCGCGACGAGACGCTTCATATGAGTACTTTAAAGTTGAATTTTGAGGTCACAGGTCGGGTCAAGGTCAGGTCAAACACCTGAAATCGGGCTTCAGGACTTCGCAATGGGCGCCTCTCGCCATAAACTCTGTCAAAACGGTGCACAATCCATCTTATAAGGCCTACAAGAGTGTCAGCTCCATATAGGGGTCAGTCAAGCATAGGTCAGGGTCAAGGTCAGGTCAACCGGGTAGGCACATATCCCCGAAAATCAAAACTGATATTCGCAGCCTGTGACACATGTTTTATAGGTAATTTGGGGCGTAGAACACGATGGTGACATTCATTTTATCATATGTGTACGTGTTTGACTCAAAAAGCTCAATTTAAGAAATTCATGTATCATGGTCGTGAAGTAGTCACGAAAAATTGCCAAGATTCAGTTCAAGATTTTGGAAAATGCGGAACGATAATCAATAATCGAAGATAGCCATTTGATTGACCATGGTATTGGAAGTCTAATGGCGTTTACGGCATGTCTGTATGTCTATTCTGTGATTTTATGATTTTTTGAACATATGCCGTTTTTGGTCGAAAACTCAGAAATCATGACGTCACTAAAACCTCGATATCTCAAAAATTTTCCGACCGATTTTTTGAAACTTTGTCACAATAAACTTCAATCAATTCCCTACAGGTACCCAAAATTTGGCGCGCCTGCGGCGCGCCGTTTTTATGCTATAGCCCGGCGAAAAAAGTGGGGGCGTTTAACGCCCCCCCCCCCCAGAAACTCGCGGGTTAAGCCGACAGAAGAAGTCCTGTGGGGTCCTTAGAGACCGGCATGGTACTGTCAGACGCCGGTGGGGCCCTCAGAGTCACCGGTGTGGGGCCCTCAAAAGTCACCAGTGGGTGGCCTTTATCTATGCGCAGGTGTTGGTTGGGTCCTCAGAGCCGCCGATATAGGACTTTAATAGGCACTGGTGTAGGCACTCAGAGTTGGGGGTGTGAACTGTGAAACCCTCAGAGTCCAGAGACACCGGTGTGGGCCCTCATAGGCGCCGACGAGGGCCCCACAGTTGCCGTTATGGGGCCCTCAGAAAAATAAGTGTGGGACCATCACAGGCGGGAAATGCCCCTAGAACTGGCCCCTCATAGGCCGGTAAGACCTCTCAGAGGCCAGTAACGGGCCTTTAGAGACCACCGAGGTGCCCTTAAAAGCCGCAAGAGGCCCTCAGAAGCCGGCGTGGGACCCTTAGGGAGATCTTAGTGTGGCTATTTAGGGCCCATGAGGTGCTCTAACGAGCCCCATGGGGCCCTTCTGAGTAGAGTATGGCCATCGTTAACCCTCAGCGGTCAAATGGCGCCTTAGGGCCCCTCGGATCCGATGGTCCCTTTAATCCGATGGGGGGGGGGGGTACGTGTCCCCTTAGACGCCTAGCTACGCCACTGTTTCATATGCATTATGTCAGGCATTTTAGGCTCGCCCCCCCAACTTGAAAATCGTTCCCGGGCCCCTGCTGCTCTCTCCTCTCGGCTCTCTCTGAACAGTTGGGGGGGGGGGGTTCGAATCAGTTTTTTTTTTACATTTTTTTGAATGCCATCCTGACGTTTTTTGCAGAATAAAGTGGCCGAAATCTGGGGAGAAATCGAAAATTGGAGGAGGGAGGGCTATGGCTACGAAGGTCAGTCCATGTCGCTGCCCAAGTGGCCCACCAGACAAAATTCCTTAGCCGAGGCCCTGCAATGATGCCAAAATCGCGGCTCTGCGGCCATTTTTTTGCGAAGTTATTTACTAAAAACCGAACCCGTAACTTCAGTCACTTGACCTAACCTCAGACGCTACCGGTTAACCTGAGACCTTAAAATCGGGTACCAATCGCTGCGACTTGTAACGGCACACACGCTCGTTTTTTCCGCGAGGCTCTAGCTCTATTAGAAGCGAAACGGCGTGCTGGGGTCGTATCAACCCCTCCGAAACCCATTTTGTTTGCGGGAAAATGAGGAACTTATAGAAAGAACGCCTTTCTAATTTTTTGCATGTCGATTTGCAATGACATGAAGTTAATTTTGAAAAAATAAAAATGTGAAAAATTTTGGTCCCAAAAGTCATTAGAGGCAAATTAAAAAATATTAAGGTTTTTTCTCAACAATGAAATTTTTTCTTTGGAATTTTTAAATAGTAATATTAATTTTTGATTCATCGCAAGCTTAGTGTTGTTTACTTTTTGTTGGTTGCTTAACCCGTTCTTGAGTTATAGGCCATCAAACTCACCGTTACAAACCGAAGTTAAAAAATGTAATGCAATATAACTCAAAAAGTTTTGATCTGAGAAGTCTGATATTTTGCCAGGCGTCTTTGGGGTCTATGATTACCCCTAGGACCGATTTTCATTAAAATCTGAGAGATGAGGGTGACGGGCCTGGTACGATCTATCGTGGAATGCCCCTTCTGCCAATGCTGAGACATAGGAACCCGGTGGATAAAGAGTTGTAGAACACCAATCTGCCCCCGGGTGTGCATAGGCATACTGTTGCTCTTATCAATCACTGAAAGTTTCAAAGCGATCGGTGACTCGGTGTAGCTATGGCAGACTTTAAAACTCTTTATGAGATGAGGTCACTTGAAATAACCTGGTCACCTGACCTTGGGTGACTTTGGTCTGAAAGTTCATAACATGTGATTTCACCGAAATAATAATTCAGTAGCTGTTTACCTCATTCACATTAGCAAAATATGCCGCAGTGCGCCACGCAAAACTTGTCTGATTTTGTTGGCTCAGCTATTTTCATGGTAAATATGACGTCACGAGTCGTTTTATTGCTCGATGTATCGCATTAAAGTTGAGCACTAAATTGCAAAAAACAAGGTAAGTTCAGTAAAAATATTTATGAATGGCCTCGAAGAAACAAAACGAAAATGATATAAACAAAATGTTTTACTTTCTGTAGCACTGCCGTCCACATCTTCTATGACGTCATGCATCTTTATTGAAAATTCTTTAGGATGTGCTAAAATAAAACATTTCTTGGATTTGTTGGCTGAAGTGGTTTGTGGGCGTTTTTGGAGAGTAAGGGGTAAGAGGGCCTTGGAGAGTAATATAGGTACTGTTGGTGAGTGTTTTTGAATACATATGGTTATGATCACTTTAAATGATTATGCACATAATTACCTGTTTTGGGAACATTTCAGTCTGAGCCATATATTTTGCTACGTCTGGAAAACACTGACGGTCTAGTTTGTTTACATGTGTTGAGTTGGAATAGGAATAGGTGCTTACGATAGGTGAATAGGTGTACAGGTGCATAATAGGAATATAATAAAACTATTAAATTGATGGTGCGGCAGTCAAAAAAGTGTTTTTAATACTTGTATAAATGGACATCGCTTTTGTGGCTCCAGGCCCTTGTATACCTACAAGTACGCAGAGTTGCAGAGCTATGCAATTCAATGTGCTTGTTCATCACACATGAAGAAAATTATGTACACAGGTGCCGTTCTAAGTTTCCCAGCATAAAATAACCTGTCATATGCCCATTCTCAATGGAGAATATATCAAAGAAGGCTTCATTACCAATATTTCCCCCGCGTTTGATGTCTCTCGGACGGCGAAGATTCTACGCCATCCGGCCAATTACGTTCCATAACCGCAGCAGAGCCCCCGTTGACCTTGGATGAGATTGGCCAGATGACGTAGAATCTTCGTCGTCCTAGAGGCATTGAATGCGGGGTTAATGATTAAGCTATCACTTGTCAATTGGCAATCTCCTAGTCAATCACAGTCTGCATTCACTGCAGGCTTGAGTCTTCTGATGATACCTAACCTACTTGAAGGCTTCTATCAGTTACACTTGATTGAAAAATGAGCTTTTAAAATCATTTTTAGCTATTTTCATGCCTTATGAAGATGAACAGCCATGGATAAGCATTGCTATTTAGAAAATATTATTTGAATCAATATGTCAGTCAAACATTGGGCTAGCATTGGCCTTGGATAGATGACAAACCTGCATTATAGGGCTAAGCATTTAGCAATGATTCATATTACCTACAGGCTATAGGACCAAAAGTGCCTAAAAACAGCGAGATATAGCAGAAGGACTGTCTCAGCCTGAAAGCAATAAGCATGGAACAATAACAGAGTAGTGCCATTGCTACTTTATGGAGTATTTCCTCTTACAAGGTTTTGTGTTTTAGGAAAGATTCTTTGTGGAATATGTAGCTGAAATTTATGTATGTAGGACAAGAAATTGCACAGGCTTAATAGACATGCTTATTTCTGAAGGCATTACATGAATTTCTGCAGTGTGGGCCTTTTAGATCTGCCTCATGTCTGATTATTGAACCTGATATGTTACACCCATCCACCAGACAGTACAAATCTCAAACAAGATGGACCCACTCCTGGGGCCTGCTCGTTCAGAGATGGACCAGCTGCCATCAGAATTGGCTGGCTCTGCCAGCTCCGGCGGCACTCAGGCGGCTGATGGCAGTGCGCAGACTATCCTGGACGCCTGGCTGCAGCAGCTGCAGGCAGATCAGACTGAGGAGCCGGTGGTCGAGAGCCGGCTCGACATCGATAGCCTGTTCAGCAGCGAGCTCGAGTTCGATCTTGACTTTCTCACCGAGCTGTCCAGTCTGAAAGGCGCCAGCAGCGGCGACGGCGGCGTCTCGCTGCAGGAGCTCTCGCAGGACCTGGAGCTGGGCTTCCTGTGCCCGCCAGACGCGCCGCTCGAGCCTGACCCTGTCGACCTGAGCGCCCTCGCTGGTGCCGAGCTGTTCGGGGAGCAGCCGCCAGCTCCAGCCGCCCAGCCGCAGCCGTCAGAAGCCGCTGCGGCACCGCCGGAGCCGCCCCGACCGCCTCCCGTGGCCTCCATCTCAGTGGTGACCAACAAACAGCAGGGCAGGACGGTGATCACCATCAGCACACCCCGCGGCCGCCAGTCGTTCGTACTGCCCACTGCCGACCTCACGCAGGCATCGCGAGTGCTGCGCGCCCTCCAGCAGAAGCGGCGGCGGAGTCGAGCCGCTGCTGCTGCCGCCGCTGCCGCTGCCACCACTCCTGTCCCTGAGATTAAGACAGAGGGTGGTCTAGAAGAAGGCGAGGAGAAGTGTGCGACGCTGTCTCCAAAGGGCGCCAGGAAACGGTCAGCCGAGACGGCGCCCGGCAAGAGGAGGAAATCACACTCAGATTCGAAGGATGGTGAGTTGGACTTCAGTATAGATTGGCTTTTCACTACATGGAATTATATCTTTATCTAGCTGTTCACTTTTGGTCAGTTCTTCTTGATCATATCTGCTACCATTTTTGCCTTGTTTTTCTGCGATATGTCCCGTATATTATATCAGATGTACCGTTTGTGCTTCCAGCGGCTGAAGACGACCCTGTGATGAGCGAGGCGATGCGTCATCTCGGCATTGACCTGGCCGCCCTGGAGGCGAGTCGAGACGAAAAGACCAAGGCAATGACGTGTCCGGAGCCCGGCTGTCAGGTGGCTACCGTGAACGTGTTCAAGCTCAAAGTCCACATCTTGCAACACAGAAACTACAAACCCTACAAGGTCGGTTGAACTCTTGTGTCCACAACGATTATATTGCTAGCTGCTAAGTTGGTGTTTGTTGGCTTATTTATACCTTCGTATGACTCCAACCATGTTCCATCTCCTCTGCAGTGCAAAGAAGAGGGCTGCAAATGGGAGTTCTTTGAGCGAGGCAAGCTGAATCGCCACGAGGCTACCCACACGCAGGCTTCTTTGAAGGTCAGTGGGGACGATCTTGCTTGGCGATGATATTCGGCGATATGTGTTTTTAATAGCAAAGTATCGCCGTTAATTTAAATTCCTGCTAGAAAATGCTGTCTGTGAAAATGCGTTTTCTATTTCTTGACTTGCTATGGAGCTACTGATAGTAAACATCAACTTTAATCGAGCCTATGAGATTGAACTGGAGCATACGGTTTCAGCTCGATATAATCGTGTGCTCGCCCCTGGAGTCACTAACCAAAATACTTCCACTGACGTTCTGCGGTATTGTTTCAGTGCGGTGAGCCTGGCTGCCCGGCGGTGTTCCGAACTCGCACTAACCTAATGCGACATCGACTGAGGATACACGACCTGACCTCGCTCCCGCCGCCGCCGACACCCAACCCCGTCGCTGGCTTTACCGATGATGCCGAGCATGACGATCCACCCCCGTCGGTAGCTCTATACAGGTGAGGGAGGATTCTGCTAAGGGCGTGGTAGTGAACGAGTGAGATGGTTGGTTTTGAGGTGATGTTGCCGACGTGTGATAACAGACTGTGATAGTTGTTGGGGGTTGAATATGATGATGGATGGGTTCAATTTCTGGTTCTTGAAAGCTGGGGTAATGCTGGGAAAGGTATTCTTCCGATAGGTATGGGTCCATTAGAGCTGGCGTGATGGTTTGTTTCGCTTTCGATGTCTTAGTCGTCGCACTGGCCATCCTCACGATCTTCCATGTCTCCTCTCGTTGCAGGTGCCCCCACTGTGAGCGCGTGTTTAGAATGGCTGCCGGGTTGAAGCGTCACCTGGATTGGCACGAGAAGCAGTCGGAGAGCGCGTGTACGTACCCGGGCTGCGGGTTCACGGCGCCGGGACTGCAGCAGCTGCGGGCGCACGAGAGGCGTCACGCCGTCAAACAGTACCGATGTACTCACCCGGTGAGTGAGCTGGGCGGGGGAGAGTTCGATGGATCGTAAGGAAGGGAAAGAAGCTGGCTGACCGGCCGGTCTGGGAAGCGTGTGTTGGGTAGCATAAGGCTCAGTATAATTGATCTTTTAACGTCGTTATAAGCGAGGCGTAGGTCGTAGTTCAGAGGTAGCACCGGCAGCTATTTCATATCTCACCCACATCGCTTTGCCTCTTATCAGTCTCTGTAACAGTCTGATCCTTTCAGTCGTGTTCGTGGGCGTTCGAGTCTAACGCCAAGTTGAAGCGCCACCTGTCTCAGCACACGGGGCGGCGAAACTACCGCTGTCCTTATGTGGGCTGTGAGAAGTCGTACCGACGAATGGAGTACCTGAGCGGTCATATACGACTGCACCTCGGCCGATACTACCAGTGCCCGCAGAAAGGTTGGTACAACTGGATCACTGGTTTTCGCAGAATTATCGGTATTTTTTGGAAGAGCTAATGGTGAATAGAAGACATGTATGGTTTACAATTAATTCATCACGACCATTTGAGTGGCATTGGTCCCAGTAATTCATTCGCGGAATCCCTCCATTTTTTTTTCTTTGAGAACGCGAATAGTACTTCTCACGAATTTACCCATATAATTAACACCGACCTATAGAAAAACATGCTTCAAGCTATCCTTGAATCAGTCTGAATGCCTGTTCTTTTAAGCACCCAACACCCATCCTCTCGGCAACTTATAACGCCATTTACCATGACTCATGTCATCGACAGGTCGCGCTGATGTCCGTGCAACCACCCTCCCGTCCCGTTGTCAGGCTGCCAGCTCCGGTTCACCCAGCAGTTCTCCCTGGCGACACACATCCGCTCGGCGCACGACCTGACCGCTCTGGTGGCCGACTCTGCCTCGCCCGGCGCCGCGTTTGTATCGTGCCCCATGTGTGAGGCGCGCTTCAAGTCTGAAATCTACCGGGAGATTCATTTGCAGGTGAGTGACCCGTTGTAGTTGGACAGCTCGAGGCAGCGGCATCTGTGCCTATGGTCGGAAAAAATGATCGGAAAAAGGAACCTGGTATAAATCGGTTTCCTTTTCTGGGCATAGGGTTTATTGCGTTGCATCGAAATTTGACGTTTTTAACCCGCGCCCGGCTGGGGGTCCTGGATTTCCACGCCCTGCTGGGGGGGTGTTTGAACACCCCCCCCCCTTCTAACTCGGCTCCTGGGCCACGTAGCGATACGCGGAAGGCGGCGTGCGAAAGAGCGTCAAAAATAATGAGGAAATCACTTCGGTCAATTTTTTGGTCAGGTCAAAGGTCAGGTCACCAGATGTCATTGAAGGCAAAATTTCGCCGATTTCCAGGTCGAATGTCGACAATTTCCAAGAAGCCAACGCATAACTCGGAAACCAATAGAGCTACAGCGCCGCGGAAAAGCGCATTCGATAGCCCTATTAACGCCCTTTCTGAGTAATTCTCTCAGATTTGACCTAACGTCAACGGTTTTGCCTGCAGGGGGCAAAAACTGAAAAAATAGCCGATTTTTTCGGAAGCAGTTTTTCTGCAATAACTTTTGACCCAAGCCTTGTACGAGCTTACTTTTACCGGCATCGTGTTCCTCTTGTCAAGACGCATCGAATGAACTATAACTTGACCTTGAAAGGTCAACTTGAAAATTTGACCTCAGGTCAAGGTCATGACCTGACCGGAAAGGGTCATGTTGCATATCAGTCGATCCGTATCGTCGAGCTGAACACATCTAAGGCGTTTTCATCGCTCTAGCATGCCTCTATCAAAAGTTATTTGCGAAAAACTGTTAGATACCATTCGTGACCTAAGATGACCTCAGGGCATAAACAGGGGTCACGGACTTCATTTTCATGTTCAGTGTGTCTAAACCACTTGTAATTCAGTGTTTTGGAGTGTTTATAATGTCTTTCGTCCAAAGGAGGCGCATTTCAATTTTCTCCCATTGACTTATAATGGGGAGGTCGCAAAATTGACCTGACCTTAGGTCATCGATATCAAAATTCTGAGATATACATTTTGTACATGCTATTGCTCTTAGCAATCGCTGAGAGTTTCAAAGCGATCGGTCACTCGGTGTAGCTATGACAGACATTGAAACTTTTTATGAGGTGAGGTCACTTCAAGTGACCTGGTGACCTGACCTTGAATGACCTTGGTCTGAAATTTTCACAACATGTGTAGAATTGATGTATGATAAGGTGTACCAAAAACGGCTCGCGAAAAACCGCAAGGGGGGGGGGGGTGTTCAAACCCCCCCCCCCCCCCCAGCAGGGCGCGGGTTAAATGGCCATTGCTGTCTTACAGTGTCATTCCTGTGTCCATATAAGAATGATGTCCAAAAAAGATGCCTATTTTGGTCTGTCAGCCCCCAAACACACCTCCGTTCTGTCATGCCATTACCGCCGTGCTATCGGCCTGCTGGTCCAGTATGTGACTGTGCCTGGCGCTCCCGTAGGACGTGCACGGCACCTCCAGCTCCAAGCTCCTCCAACCCCAGTCCTCGACTAGGGAAGAGGACGAGGCGGATATAAGGAAGAAGAAGTCCAAGTTCAACCCGGAGAGTCTCAACTGGGTGGATGGTGAGCACTAGCAGGTCTAGACCGCACAGGGCCGACCCGCGTGAGTTAGTGCTATTGTGACTCTGACACCATTTTTCGGTGCATTTATATGTGAAGGACAGCGCAGCTTGCGAATGGATGGTCGTCCTTTACCGCGTGTTTCCCTTGATTGACACACCACCAGCTTTTCCTTGATTGTGGAGTAAATTAACCCTTTATCATACCCTTCCACCAAATGGTAGACATTCGTGTTTTACACAGACGCCTATTAATAATAATTTGCATTGATCAACATATATGACCGAATCGTATGATGACAATCGCTGCTTATTACATGGCTCCTGTGTTAATTTGGCATGATATATTTTTTACTATTGCCCGGCATCAGGTTACTGACCTTTCAGTGTCAGGTTACTGACCTTTCTGAAGGTGAGAAGCGGTTGCCATGTCAACGGTCAATAGTAAGTTGCTCGCGCAGTGGTGTTGAACAAAAATTCAAATGTCGTAATTTTATCGTCGTTTTCTCAGACTGTTCAGTTTGATTTCGTGATTGGCTAGTCAAGTCATCAAGAACTGGGCCGTCATTTGAACATGTCCGTTCAAATACCCCGATTTAATTTGTTGGAGCCGCATGAATTGGATGAGCTATTTTCATCGTGCAGGGCTCAGGGCACTAAAAAGGTGATTAAATCAGCAGAAGACGTCTTCATTGAGCTCTTGCAAGTAAAGGGCATATCTGTTGAAAGCTGCATGCACAGCAACGATGTCCTGGACAACGCTGTAAAGGAGTTCTTCATTACTGTAAAACGCAAGGATGGTGAACGCCACAAATCAAAGAGTCTCCACACCAAAAATCGCCAAGATGGTCTCGGACGATCAACTGAGGAATATGAGCAGAACGCTCAGCCTCGTGGGAGATGCAACGACATCCACAGCATCTACATCAGTGGAGCCTCAGACCGGCGGCGGCCAGCTCTTCACAGGCTGCATCTTCAACTTTAACATGTAAAGCAACTAAGTGTGTGCGGTGCCGTAGACATGTGACGTGGCTATGATTGTATATCCAATACATTCAATTGTACCATGATATTTGTGTTTGGATATTTTTTATTACGGGATGAATGAGTACTAAGTAAAGATTCCGAGAGTTGGCCATGTAATAAAACGAATACTGCATGGGGGAGCGGGCAATAGCAAAAATATTGCCCTCTGTGACGCACTGTAGCCCTCGGGTGAAGACCTCCACAAGTGCTATTGCCCTCGGCTTCGCCTCGGGCAATAGCACTTGTTTCGGTCTTCACCCTCGGGCGACAGTGACGTCACATCGGGCAATATTTTTTGCTATTGCCCGCTCCCCCATGCAGTATTCGTATATTTTCCTCACATTTCAGTTACTAACTAATCTTTCCCCATCCCTCAGAAGGCGAGCCGATACGGGTAGACGGAGACCCAGACGCCGAACAGACCTACACCGTGTATGTGCCGTTCGAGGTGGAAACCGACTCCGGACCCTCGGAGGTCCTCGTCAAGTGTGACGTCACAGAGGTCAGTGAGGTCGCAGTGAGGCTAATGAAGGCACAGTAAGCCTGGTGAAGTCACGTGGGTCGTTGACGTCACAAACAGGCAACATTGAGTTGAATGTGGCTCAGGCCTCGAGCTTTGCACTGGCTTCTGAAATATTTATTGAGAGTAAATATCACTGACTTTGCAATGTCTGATGTTATGCCATTAGGCATTGAATTTCACTAAATAAACCCAGATGCGCTAGTTATCTAAATGCTGCAATATGGGATTCGATATGAGGTATCCAGTGTCTGATTGATGGACCACAGCCGCAGCGACTGCTAGCAGTAACTATCCGTCGTTCGTAGTCCCCGCGTTTGGCGCTAGACGAGTCTCGCCCGTCGCTCAGTCCCATGTCTATCGCGGGACTAGCGTCTCCTTTGGTGCAGAATATCTCCCGTTATGCTCTCCCTCCTTCCCCGTGTCTGTGGCCCGTCTTAGGACTAGCGTTGCCTGTGGGCAGGACGAGCTTCCCCGTCGCTCTGGAATGTCCTTATTCTGTCACAGGATGAGTGTCGTCAGTTATTTGTGGAAGAATGCCGCCCGTCGCTCCCAGCTCTCGTATGTTCTCTGGGCAGGACGAGTTTCGCCTATCGCTCTGAATTCCCCTAAGAGTGTCCTCAGTTATTTGTGGAAGAATACCGCCCGTCGCTCTCATCTCTCGTGTGTTCTCTCGACAGGACGAGTGTCGCCGCCTGGGTATTGAGCTGTCGTCAGAGACAGGCACAGGCACCGATCAGTCGCCCGCCGCCTACGACCACGTCTTGGCAGAGACCAACACGGCCAAAGACACGGTTAGTCGCCGCCCCCGTAGTTAGCGAGTTGTCGGTTATCTGCAGACTGGTCTGATTCTGGGGACAGAGTATTAATGTTCACGAGCTTGGAGGCCCGAGTCGGTACAGTGTACAGTTGGTTCCCCAATTTTTTTGAATTGGCATGCTAATTTAAAGACATGCAACACTATTCAATGACTTTACAGCTAAGTGTTGTGGACATCCGTTAGCCGCATCCGGCTGTCAGCCGCTCCCAGTGAGACCCGCCCAGCCCTCTGCGCAGCCGGCTATACCCGCCCGTATTGCTATCCTATCCCGTCTGACCCTGTTTGTCCCTCCCTGCCCCCACCAGGCCCGTGAGCTGCGCCGTATGGGTGTGGGCGTGCTGTCAGCCGGCCTGCGGCGGACCGCCCAGTCGGGCTGCGCGCGGACCGATATCACCAGCTGCCACCTGACGGTCCGCCGGTCCCGACCCCGACCGCGCAGACCGCCCGCCGGCCGACAGCGCCGCCCTGGCGGCTACTCGCGGATACTGGGCACGGTGGCAGGTAAGGGACGCGCGGCAGGTGGCGCCGTCTGGCGTGGGGAGGTCGGGGACTGGGCCTGGTCTCTGAGGCCTGTTTGTTCAGGCCGGGGATAGTGAGGGTGCTCTTCGGTTACCTGTTTAAAACGCAGCCTCTCATTTCTCTTCTGTAATGAGACATTAGGCTGTTCCTGTTTTGCATTTGCACTCCCGTTCCAAAATTTACGAATATTTTGCGACTTTGCGACTGCGTAATATTGTTAATTGTTACATATCGTTATCCAATCAGAGCGCCTGGTTCCGTGTAACACTTGTAGCAGATGTCTGCCCGGGATCCGTAAAATGAGACGGACCGAACCCGTGTCTGCGTTTCTGGTAACATCCTATCCCGAGCACGCCGGTCGGCTGATCACGTGATTCAATACCATATAAGCGTGGAGGCCTGCACGCCCCCTCCCCTCCCCCATCCCGCCCCGTTCGTGCGGCTATCAGTGCGGTCTCGGTCACGTGATCAGATGGCACGGGTCACCGCTGGCCGAACAAGGCCCGTGCGCCGCCGGCCGCCGGAAACTGGCCCTAATAAGTGGCTGGTAGCGCCGGTATGGAACGCGCCGCTGTCAAACGGGGTTTGATGTATGGAGGTCATCAATCAATCATCGACCAATGACACGTCCACTGGAGAAATAGCGATGCTCAAACAGGTCCCGGAATTCGGCTGGTTTGAGTGGCAAACCGCGTTTGGGACCAGCTGGGCTTTTTCTCGTGGCACACCTCTTCTTGACGATAGGTCATCAGATTTGTCTGCAAATTCAAGCTGGCTTTCATGTTTTCTTTTTCTTTTTTAGATGTGCAGCTTACTCATTGCGAATTTTAACGCTTTTCAAAATCATGAGCTGCATCTACATACAGTATAAGTGACTTGAACATGTATAAGTGTTCAATTGCTCGAAACCTGCTGTCATGTAGTTATATGCATGTTCATGGGATATAAAAAATGAGAACGAATCGGCACTACTTCATTCTTAAATGCCCATTTGTCTTTATGAAGGATAGCCCACTGGACTAAACAGCACTTCTGGATAGAAATTTGGATCAAGTGTCTTCTCAAAACAGTCTGCTATTTGCCGCTGTATATTGGCGATTCCGTGGTTTTGATAAGGATATCATCATTCATCAAGTCGTACTCCCGTGTTTTCCTCTTGCTCTGGCCTGTTGCTATGTCGGCGCTGCAGTCGGCTGTGTTCTGGTAATTTGTGAATGGAAACTGGCCTTCGATCGATACTGGGGATCGTGCCGCGTTCCTCGCGCTCCGAACTTGTGGAACCCGTACTTGTATAGGCAGACGCTGGCCCGTGCAGGTTTCTCCGCGGTCGGTGCGGTTGGAGCGTGCGGCGGTTAACTGGGATTGGTGAATGGGCCAGGACCGATTGGCTGCGAGGGAAACGGTTGGCTCCATGTGTTGGCATTGGTGTGAGGGATAGAAATCAGTCAATGCTGGGAATGGGGAGGGTATCAGATGTGTGACGAGAACAGTGACTGGAAGTGGACAGAAGGAGATGGAGAAGTAAAAAAACTACTGACACAGTCTGTGATGTGAAGGATTATTTTAGTCACGCGGTTGTAAATCGTGTGTGTTAATTTGTACGGTCTTCTGGGTAAGTGTCTCCGACAGCGTTCTGATGAAGTTTGTTCATTTGGTCATTGGACATTTTCTTAGGAAGTCTCCAGAAGCAGGAGCCCTAGACAGACCGTCTTTGGCGCTGTGTTTTTGATTGGCTGATAACTACGAACTGACAAGACTGGGACGCTTCTTGGCAAGACAAGCCTCAAGTTTCTATCGTTCCAACTACTCAGGAGTCAGGTGTATCATATTCGTTTTCAGAGTGTACCTACTGTACCTGTACCTTTCAGGTGTTCTGGTGTAGTCTCGTTAGTGGAGCGGCTATAACCGATGTACCAAGTAATAAGCATGTTCAATATCCACGCGTGACGCGGACAATATCCTTTCTGCCTTCTCGTGCTCTGGTGTCGCCCTCTTCATTCATATCCTGCAGTGAACGTAATCCATCGACGCAGTAGTTTGCTCTACGCAGGACAGGTATGTGAATTCTGCGACCTGGCACCTCAGTACGCTATAATCGGCTCAGTGATGTCATGTGGTCATTTAGTGGGGCCACGGAGAGCCGTGCACGAAGGGGTTTCCTGGGCCTCTTCAGTCCCACCCACCCCTCACGGGCCCCATTCATATGTTGCGCAGGTCCGTTGCGCGGAAATGTACCGGGATGCTGACAGCGCTACTGCATGCTCGTCACGTTATACCGCGGTCAGCACTGAAGCCGATAGTTGAAGCCCTGGTTGTATCTGTGCTGCGGTACTGTCTGTCGGTGTACGGCTCGTGTGGTGAGGTGCAGTTAGGACGGCTGCAAAAAGTTATAAACTTTTGTGCACGCGTTGTGTCCGGTCGGCGACGACGTGATAGCGTGGCGGCTGTCATCAAGCAACTGAAGTGGTTGACTGCCAAGGATTTGGTAACATACCACACAGTGAGTGCTGTCGAGCGTATCTTTGTGTCGGAGCAGCCGGAGTACCTCAAAGGTACGCTGGGGCAGCGGGCTAGCCAGCGGCACCGGCACAACACTAGGCAGGCCAGCTACCTCACCCTCCCCTTCATTCGAACGGAGTCGGGAAGACGTAGATTGTGCTACCGAGGTGTGACTCGTATGAACGAACTTGGAGTAGAACCAGGGACATTGTCGTACCGGGCGAACATCCGAAAGGTGCTGCTGTCTAAGCAACAGACATGAGCAATAGCATGTATGGGTGCGTGTGTGGGAATTATGCGTGCTGCACACTGTTCCTCGTTTTGTATCACACTATCATGACGTGGACATGTGAAAAGCCTCACTATTGAGAGGACCTTGTCTGAATATATCTGTAATCTGTAATCTGTAATCTGTTCCCGCTAAACTAGTGAATGGTGGGAGAAAGATTTTTAGTGGCGTGATGCGTAGGAGAACAGGCTCCCTGTTTTACCTTTTCCGTTAATTGACATTGATGGAACATAGCATTAACATTGATCGTTTATGAAGGCACTACTCGCATGCTATTCGCTTGCGTGGGCGTGCGTTTGCTCTGAGCTTTATATACGTGGACATTAGTCCAATTGTCTCGTCTGATCCGCTCTCTGAGTTTGCTGAGTGGCGATTCACGCAGCTCAGTAGCCGGACACATTCGGCCGAAGTCTCGCCGCCCGCCGATAGCGTCGTATCGTGCGTCGGGGACGGCATGCGAGCCCCGGCCGGGGCCGGTCTTCCCCGAACGCCGGCTACGCTGTTTTACTGGAACCCAGTCGGGAACACGTGAAGCGGCCCGATCTGGTCGGTGATATGCCCGCTCGGGCCGACCGGGTCCGGCGCGATTTGCCCCGAGATCAGCCATTGACTGCACGGCAGCACTCCGGCGCGACGGGCACCCGATGGACGACGAATACATTACCGACTGGTGACCGGACGGACCTCGAATGTCCATTGGGGGGTCTGGGATGGCCCGTGAGTGTCCCGGAATCAGAGGGTGCCCAGACGGACCACAGACTTCTAGGGTTTGTGGGGTGCCCCGTGAGTGTCCCAGAACCGTGGGGCGGCCGGACGCACCTCAGACCTCCAGTGGGTGGCTCTAAAATCTGGACCTCGAGGCTCGAACCCCTTGTGGGTCTGGGGTGCCCCGTGAGTGTCCCGGAATCGGAGGGCACCCTGACGGTCCTCAGATGTCTGGTGTGTCTGGGATGTCCCTTGAGAGTCCTGGAACCGGAGGGCGCTCTCACGCACCTCAGGTGCCTGCTTGGCGTCTGGGGTGCCCCGTGAGTGTCCCGGAACTGGAGAGCGCCCGGGAGGGGACGGATCAGACCGTCTGCGGCGGTGTCTGCGGTGTCGGCACAGCTGGGTGTCTGAGCTCCGTGGCGGCAGGATCAGACGCCGACCGGCTGTGTGGCCGCCGCCGCCGGAACTGCTGACCTTTGCCGCTCCCAGGAAACGCTCCGATCGAAAGCCTATTTCTGGGCCGGTGGCGTGGAGCCTCCCGACGGACCTGGGGCGTGGCAGGCGCTCGCCAACCCGTCCAGCTCAACAGGGCGGGGCTTTCGAGGGGAGACCGACGAGCCAGCTGAAGGGGTCTATCACAATCCAAGTATGAGTTTCTATTGTATTAACCGATTCCCAGCTTCGCATACAAAATACAAAGTTTTGTGCCAATGGAGATAAGATATAACATGACAGAGAAAAGTTAGAATATAAGTCTTTTCTGACCGTTAAATTTTTGTTTACAACCACGAGCCTTGCCAGGTGGCTTCTCTGCTATGTTGTTTTCGTGCATCTGGCCATCGACAGATGTGTTTGTGGTTATCTATGTTTGTGGTTCGTATTTATTGTTTACAGCTGAGTGGATGGTTTTCTATGTTTGTGGTTCGTATTTGTTGTTGACAGCTGAGTGGATTCAATGATATGACGCTGGTAGCTCTATATGGCGCTGTTTGCGCCAAGTTACCAGTGGAGATGTGATGGCGATGCTCAAAGCTCCACAGTTCTGGGATATAGATACTGAGCTGGAACGGACCAGCAACGTCAAACTTTCCAAGCTACCAGCATATTTGTAACTGGCTTTATCTTGTTTGTCTTTGCCGACAAACTTCTGCGTCATTTGCCCAGAGAATTGTAACAGGTGGCTGGTTCCCTTTGGCATGTTTTACTCGCTTCTGTTGTGTGTGTGTGTGTGTTTTTTTTTTTTAGACCCGTGTGTATAGTCGACTACAGAATGTTGTTCCACTCCTCAGAAACTATCAGTTGACCGGAGCGCTAAGTTGTGCCGTTTATCACGCAATTAAGCGTGTCGATTGTGAGCATTGGGACAAAGCTATAATTTGTGAACTCAGCCCGAGTGATGCGGCACAGCCTACCACTCCAGGCAAATAATTGCCTATGAAAAGTGGAACATCATTCTGTAGTCGACTAGACGCATTCTGTAGACGCTTGCCGTTCACAGGTGCAGCACCGCCTTACGTCTGGCCCTGCTGACCTGTTCTGTATTCCCAAGTCTCATGTGTGATCCTCTTCCGGTATGTATGTAATTTTCATCGTATTTGCTGACTGTCCTTATCTACTTCTTTCCGGCAGATCCGTCCGAGGCCTTTTCTCAGCCGTATGAACCAGGTCTGCTGAGTGTTGAAACCGTGTTGGTGAGTACGAACCTGATTATTGCCCGTCCGACATTCCTACCTGTGGCCAACTGGGAGGGATGGGAACAGGAAACACACATAAAGGAACACGTAGGCGTTGGATGCAATAAGAAATAACGGCTATATGCTACCTGGTTATCCCTTTTTGTGGATTTATGTTGCCTTCATAGTAGCATGATGGGTCAACTAGGCTAACACTGGGCCCCAAGATGGATCGCATCTATTGCCGCCTGCCGGCTGGTAAAAATTTGTTAAGTTATCGAAGTAAATGCGCTTCAAGAATTTTTTTAAAGGTAGTGTGCCACCTTTCTTGGACCATATGGAGCTAATGACCCGGATAAGGAGAACCGGATTTTTAGAACTTATCCATACCTTCAAAACTCATGGAAACGTCTTAAATTCTTCAAATTTTGAGTAGGGGAGAGTGGGGTAATTTGGCCGCTTTTTTTAGAAAACGATATAACTTAAAATTGACGACACATTTCTGCATTTTCTCAACGCTGGCAGGTGTCGCATTCATTTTACTTTACTGGACAGAGAACTTGAAATGATAGAGTAATTACTTATATTGAAATTGTGACGTATTAAAAAGGTCTGCAAGGCGGCCAAATTGCCCCACTAGCAGGGTTATTTGGCCGGGGGTGTGGGGCAATTTGGCCGGTGTTAGTTTGCGGTCGGGATTTTCTGTTATAGTGCGAGTCAGCTTCAGATTCAGCAATGACGTGTGTCCTATGACGCATTTGCCGCATTTTGGAGGTTGGCTCAGGGGTCACAGGGGTCAAAATAGCCAAATTAGCGGCTCTAGATGCGATCACAGTTTTTTACGAATAACTTTTGAAGTAATCAAGCTAGGCCAAAACTTCGAGTACCATCGTAATTCTCTCGTCAGTCCGCATCGAAAGATATATGTGTTGACCTTGAGAAGTCAAGGTCAAAGGTTGACCTCAGGTCACGTTGCATCAGGTCGCTTGACCTCAAGGTCACGTGATTTCAAGGTCATCATGCATATCATTCGATGCGCCTTGGCGAGCTGAACAGAATGAGACCATTTGTGCGGCTGTACCATTTTTATGTAAGGATTTATTAGCAAAAAACGTTTGGTAACCTTTGATGACGTCACATGCTCTTACAGTTGACCAATCGGAAGTAAAGCATCAAAGTAGTCAAAGTTGGTCATGAATCATGTCATTTATGGTACAATTGACCATGAAAACTCGGCCGTCCCAGCATAGTGACCATGAGCGCACCGGCCAAGTTGCCCCGCTAGTCCCGGCCAAATTACCCCATATTGCCATTCTGAAATTTTTTGTCTATAAAGTCATCGCGGCTTTACAGAATTAGATAAAATTGCTCTTGGAACTGCTGAACACCCCCAAGAATGGCGCTATAATGTCTGAATTCGTTTTTAGCCCAAATACTACATGTTATACAACTTTATAAACAGAAGTAAAAGTTACCATTTTCTAACGAAATTAACGTTTTATTATTTTGAATAAAACTACGAGGGGCAAAGTTTTGACATTTGTCCTCCAGTTATTTCTACCCATGACAAATGAATAGAGACTAGAGTTATTTCACTCACTTTTATTAGACATCGTAGGTACAGGTGGGGGCGGCCAATTTACACCACCGGCCAAATTACCCCACTCTCCCCTACCCCAGTGCGAAATTCGCCCCGACGGGTTGTCGGTCGTACCCCAACCACATTTCACACCACTATGAACAATAAATGCACACACTAAAATCGCTATTACCGATAGGCTCATCCAATCAAGTTACGATAAACCCGTTCATCATCATCTCCTGCGGTTTCGAACACGCGTGTTAGGTGGCTTCTGCTCATACTTTGTGGTGCGGTGGTGGTGCGTCGGGCCGCGCGCTCTGATTTCGGCCAAGAAAAATGCGTCAGCTGATCATTGTCATTTCTGCCACTTTCGTGTGGTGAGATGGTTACTTCATAACTTAAGAGACGGCTGTTTCATATCAATTATTTTACATAAAATCATATTTCAAACCATAAATTAATGTTCGACAGCCAAATTAAAGAAACAATACCAATACAGGCTTACAGTTTAAGTTCGACATTGTGTTGTCTACGATTAGACAGCTGATAACTCATTCCCGTACGTCGTAACTCTATAATGACCTTTGCTTATTGTCACATGTGCGCCGCATTCGCGATTGTTGCCGACGCCTGTTTGCAGGTCAGCCCACTACAGTTGTTATATGTACATATCGAAAAACCGATAAACTTTTAGGCAAAAAAAAGACACTATTCCCGGCCCATTTTTGATTTTTTTTTTGCGATATTAGGTAAAACAGAAGCTTCTTATCCTAGGAAAAATAAAATGGGAAGTCATTGGAAGGTGGCACACTACCTTTAAACTTCTTTTGGTTTCTATCTGAATATTTCAACTTTCAAGCACAAAATGCAGCGACACATCGGCTGACAGATAAGCCAATCAGCATTGAGGGCTCCATGCTCAGGCGTCACGGGCTACAGCGGACGGATCTCCCGCACCCGCCATTATCCATAATGCACACAGCATGGCGCAATCCCCCCTCCCCCCCCCACATCCGGCGGCGCTCATTTGATCCTCATTGGCCGCCCCCGCGCGCGCTCGCCATTCGACTAATGGTGGCGTGCGAACGGCCGGGCGTGATCCGGCCGACTGGCATGACGTGACGCGCCGTCCTCGCTGACGTGACGGTGTGACGCGTGACGCTGCCCACTCCCACGCTGTGTCTGTCCTTTGAGCCAGGCTGGGTCGGAAATGGCTCTCTGCTGGGAGGGCACGGCCGGAACCAACTGACCAGCGTGCAGCCAGGCTCGAAATTGGCGCAGGGCCTCAGTATCCGGCAAATGGCACGACCAGCCTTGGAAATATTTGTGTGAAGTAAGATTTGTTATTTAGTTATGTAATATGTTAATGAAAGGCTGAGACATCACGTCGAGAATTTCCGGAACTTATAGACATGTCACCTACCACGATCTGTTTACTATTTCTTTTCTTTTATGATGGGCTTGGCTGATGATGGGACGCAACACTCGCGACGGCCGATTTAAGTTTCGCCGGGACTGGGAGTCAGGTGTGAGTAAGGCGATAATGGACGCATTTAGCGGCTTTCGAAGCCATATTTTATGTGTGATCCTGGTGCTTTGGGAGCGCCAATATCCTGAATCCCGATGGCTCTGAAAATCATACGAAGAGGTAATTTTTTTCCTGGTATGATGTCTCTCCTTACTGCAATCCTCCACGGAGTCTACTATTTTGTGTTTGTGAAACGATTGGAGTGTTTTCTGTCGACAAATGGCTTTTCTAAATCCTGTCGAGCTAGTTTCGTGAGCTAATAGTACGAATAGTTTGTGATAAATTAAACAGCATTGGTTACAACGTGGGGTCAGGGCTCATTTACGTCTTTCTTTTACTATAAAAATCAATTTTCCACTCAGTTACTGATTGAAGAAGTCACGAAATGCGTGCGTATATTTGTATGTGTATTGTTTGCGTTCCAGGAGGAGGAGCCTTCTCTGCTTCTGTGTGACTCAGATCTGCTAGGTTCGACCATCAACCTGAGCGATCTAACCTAACAAATACTCTACCACCATCGCAACCTCGCCTAGTGAAGACTTCATCATCTGCCTAAGCAAATTTACCCAGCTCCCTGCCTGCGCCGCCACCGGTCGATATAACAGCTTCCGTCGGTCGATTCTCTGACTCAGATGAACGGCCAATGCATAATTCGGTGGCTAGCTACTAGCAGCAGGGTCCATTGGCACCCCAGTGCCAGGTGGATCAGCCCTCCAACTGGATGTTCCCTTGAGTACTGGCAGCTGTGGCGCGCTAGTCGCGTGGGCCAGCATATCCGTTGGATGTAGAGAAATCAAGTGGTATTGGACTCCATATGATGATCGTCACTCGGTTAACTGTACGTGTATTTTGTAGAAGAAAGTTTTAAGTTTTGTGAGGCGGCGCCGTGGAGGCCGTTCCAGGAACAAAGGGTATCTCATGTGATAAGGGCAGGCTGGTTGATTCCTTCCCTGGGCCTCGCTCGCCGGGCGACGGTGTCGCCCCTGGTGGCGGAATCGGGAACCGATGTCGGAGATCTCGGTATCCGGCCTACTGGGATATTGCCTCGCAAGAAGTGTACACATAATCGGCATATTCTATCGTGTGATTCACGAATACCTGATCTTTGATATGTGTTTGCTCGCTGTTAAATATATGTGCAGCTGTATTACGTTCGCTTTTCTAGCAGTTTCGTATCATCCGGCGATCCAACCATTCATTCATCGGATTGACTTCTTTCGTCTGAACATTCTTCTGAACTTGCTCAATTCGAACATCCGAATATTGATATTTGTCTAGTTCATTACGACAAAGCGTCGTGCAGCAAAGGAAATTATCCCCAGAGCGACTCACAGGTGCATTGGGTGGGCTCAACTCGAATAGCCAATTTGATCTATTGTGGCGCATTACGGCTCGCCCTGATCTGTTCCACTCCTATCCGACCAGGTGTGATCCCATCTGGCTAAGTTCGGTCTGAACTGACTCGGTCTGGCCTGGCTTAGTTTCATCTCTTCGTCTGCTTCAGACTGGTCTAGTCTAGTCCCATCCGACCCGCTGCCGTACGACTGGTTCGATTAACCCAGCGCTTGCCGACTCTGTAAGATCAATGGAAGCCGTTAGTGGGATGCAGCGTTTGATCTGCGCCACAGACGGCCCATGTGCGCCCCAGGTGTCCCCGGTATCGGCCGGCTGATAGCCGGGTTGATCCGGCTTCAGCCGCGAGCTATCTCAGACCGAGAGATAGCTGATATGCGTTATCCGCGCGTCATGTGTTCGTGAGTCGCCAGACAACAGGCGCTTACAGGTGGTCAGTCAGCAGCACTTCAGCCACCGGGCATCAATCGACAATGGTGGCTTTCATTGCCGGCCCCCCGCTGAAGGTCCCGCGATGTCATTCATCCTGTAGCTGCAGTCTCGGCAGTCGTGTACCTCCCGAGCACAACACGCGGCGGGCTCCCACGCTACACATACCACCTCCGGCGCTGCAGGCCTATCTCGGAAAATGGTCTGTCAGGCGTGTTTCGTTGGATATGGTCGCCAGCTCACGAGACGCAAGAATGTCGCCTCGCCGACCCCAAAGACGCAGGAATGCTGGGGGCGTGTCCCAGGGACTAGGGAATGTCGGGGTGGGGCGCTTGGGAACACAACTACGTCTATTCAGCTTCAGGTCGGAGAAGGGGTGGGTGACTAACCAAGACTCAACATGTGGCTTGTGACACGCAGTTAGCAGACATTGTATAATAATTGATTGAGTTCTTACTGAATGGCCATATGTTTTTCGAAATGTTTGTTTTGCGCTACGATTTGAAAATAGTTATCATATTCGTAGTGATAAGCCAGATTGTCTACGCTTGTTGTTTGGCTTATCTCAGCCCAATGTCTGTGCTTGCGCAGCACCTGCGTCACATTCAACAGCGACACCACGGTGCCATTGCATGATGTCAAGATGACTTCCTGCTAACTGGCCTCTCCGAGGTGGGCTCCAGCATCCATCTTACATCCCTGGCACTGTCAGCGGCATCATTAGGCGTCACACATGCACATCAAACCGCCCCTCAATGATTGAAAATTGTCTCCGGATGGAACTGTCTTGACGATGACCGTCCCTTTTACGATGTAGTTAACTACAATGCTCTGAGTATGGGCGTTAATAATGCCGCAATTTAGCATCCGGCGGTTAGATTTGTGAGCGGTCAACAGGGGCCATCACTCAGCGCCACTCATAGGTCGTGTCTGTGGCCGGGCCCTCCAATTAAGCGGTCGGCTCGTCAGCACTGCCGGTCGGCCGATCGAACCGCCTTCGGCCGGCCGTAACTGCCGGCTCCTCATCGGCTCGGCATGTCGAGTGAGCAGCCCCGCGGCCGTGTTCCCAGGACCCAGTCGTGACGTCAGTGCACCCCAGAGTACCGGGAACCGGCGACAGGGGCCAGGTGGCCGCGCCGCGCCCGCTGCCGGGCCGTGACCCGGCCCGCAGAGTCGAAATGGAGGACTCCGGCCTGCAGAGCGGCCCACGGGTGTCCGTAACGGGACCGCGCCGCTCACGCCACCATTGAAACTATACGAGAGAACTGGGCTACTGAAATGGACATTCGACAGTTGTCCTGTCGGAACGGTGCATTTTACTGTCAGCCTGCATTCATGTGTAAGAACTGCCTACTGTTATTTTTATGCAGAAAGAGGAAAGAATCGAAGCGATTCTGGTATTGATAACGTCTGAACTGCCAGTTGGACGCTAAATCGAATTCAAAAGCACCTTTTTATGCGAACCCCGAATGGTAGCATAAAAATGCGAAATGGTACGGCAATTAGATGGAGCCTCGGATACTGAATGCCAATTGCCAATTGGCGTTATCCAACCGGTTGACGGACTCTGTCGACTGCAGCGCGAGAAAAGACAAACCTGCGCTCATTCTTCTTTTTCAACCAGCTGTCATGTACATATATAAATATTTCAGAAGTTCATGTGACAAAATTAAAATGCATGATGGTTCGTAGTAATGTATGTTGTATCGTCCCCGGTTTCGTCAGCACTAGACGCAACTCACGAGCTGAGAGAAATGAACAAACCAAGGAACAAACAGGTTCCCTGCCTTTACCGGCTCTGCGGCCTGCGCAATACGCCGTCTTGATATCAATACCATGTGCCTGCAATCTAAAATCTAAATGCAGCCGGTTTCGTACCCACCGGAAGTCTGTGCCCCGGGGTCACGCACCGTGCCCATGCTGTAACACGACACTCCACCGTTTATAGAGGGGGACCGACGGACCTTGCCCGGACGCCGACAGTCGAGTGTCCAATTCGAGATGCGCGCGTCCCGTGCTGGGTCGCGTTGAGTGGAAGGTGAGAGGCGGTGATATGCGATCCGTTGTCGGTCGATTACAAATGAGTGTGCTGATTACTGGTGAGTGTGCGTTACAATTGGCTGAGTGGAGAGCGGTGACGGCTGCGTAGGTGGCGTGTGTCACAGGCAGCGACGGGGCTGCCCCGACGGTGGCCCTGCAGAGGCCCAGGGATGACGCTCTGACGCTCTCATCCGCTGCTAGTGAAGGGATGGTGTTGCCACTGAAACACGTTCCATGTAACCGACAAGCTCTTACCATGAGATTCGTGGCCACCGGCTGGGCGCGGCTCCCGAATCAACAATTTACGGGCGCTACGCAATCGTGTGCTGCCGTGAATGGGGCGTTTCCTTTGGGCGGCTCCCGGGGGCCACGCCCACTAATAGCCCACTAACTAGGTCATCGCGGCGTCCGACACCGTCTCTTCTACTAAAAGACATCGAGGGTGACGTGTAGGCATGTAGCTGGCGCCGTCTGTACAGCACTGAAGGTCGTCCGTGCTGGAAGGAAACTGCTTCTGTTACGGCCGCCGGGATTGACAGAGCATTGATGAATGACGGTCACTCGAACGATCAGGGAAGTTCTTTGTTTTTGTTTTTTTGACAGCATTTCGAAGCCGGGGTAATCCCGACGGGGAAAACGTTGTCAGGATTTGTGCCTAGATTTGGATGACGTTAGTCACCTCTGAATGTCGGAGGACAAACTGCGCAGAGGCGCATGTACTTACCTGAGCTGAGGTAAATGGGCTGCGATTATGGAACAAATTGTTATTCCCGATTTATGTATGATTGATGAGTGTGCAGTTCATGATTGGCAGCAGTAAATTGCACCGCGATACGCGCAATTCGACGGACACTAGGCCATATGATCAGATAACCTTACGGAAACAAATTTTACGAGCGCTGCTATACGAACGCGATATATCTGCGTCTGAAAATGGAAGGAAAAATCGCAGATGTCAGTAAATGACTAATCAAATAATCATCGTAAGAATCGTGCTAACCTTCTTGGATTGAAGAACGTCCACGGAACAGATACGGGGTGACAAACCGTGATTTATGCGCTATTTGGTCACAAATCAACTCGATCGAATGTTGAGACACTATTGAACATAGAGAGATTATGTGATTAAAAGCAATAGGTATAAAATCACGTCCGTCGAAGCTTTCTTACGGCCGATGGTGTAGGTATTGATACGTTAATGAGCTAGCAACAACGGCTTATAAACCATTCTTACCGATTTACACTGATTTAAGCATGTGATGTCGTCGCCATTTGAACATTTATCTGATGAATGAATCCGCGTATATCGTAGTAAATGTGATGTTTTTTTTTACGATTTTAATGCACTTCTTCCTTGACGTCTGATATTTATATCCGAGCAACTTCCGTTGCTAAAAAATCATTGAAACGGAATCTTTTGTAAATGTATTCAGCGGACGTTTTGCAGTAAATCAATGTCTTCGGAATCGGAATCAGATGCCCATTTTGTTGATATTGCGCTCCATGTAAATAAGTAACAACCATTGTAAACGACATATTTCTGCCATGCATCGGTTGATCCCACTGGGGGTTCAGGGCGCCCGGACTGGGGTCGACCCGATCGAATAACAAGAACAGCGACACCGTCAACGGTCGCAGCAATGCCACGCACGTCAGCGGTCACTTCCGGCGGCGGCTGACTGCAGTGCACACTACCCGGGCCGCACGTCCGGCGCTCCGCCGCTGCAGGCTCTGTCCGAGACATTCCTGCACGCCGCTGGCCGTGCCCCGGCTCCCCGGGGGCGGCCACACCACCGCCAGACCGCAGATACGTGTGTTCTGAGATGAAACATGCGGCCGGGGCAGGCCGACCGCCGCCCCTCCGCTACTGGCACCCGCGCAGGGCGCCGGGAGGCCAACGGCCTATCATAGTGCTGTACGCGGCTGAGATGGTCTGATGTGAGATTTTGAGTGGCCTTTGGATTTTGAGACTGAGCTTTTTGAATTTGTGAACAAATGCTTTGATATGTAATGATGAGATTTTATGTGCCCCTAAATTGGACGTCCTATACCTTGGCTTTATTACACTGGACTTTTTGATGCCACGTCGAAGTTTCCGATGATGAATGATGCGATAAATGTGAGTGTATGCAGATTACAGGTTTTGAATAACCAGATATTGATAGATTGAAATGGAATTGAAACGAATCATTTCGTAGGTAAATGAACCTAATAATTTTCCAGAATTGTGTGAAGAAGACGCATTTTTATTAAAATGTTATGTTTATGCAGAGACTATGTTAAGTGGGCTATTATCTCAATATCTCACACGCTCACGTCATTTACCCA